GCTTTCTTTGTCACCTTAAAGAGCTATCATTATGGTCTCTGAATCTTTCTTGAACCTCTTATTTTGGATCTGTATCATCTCTTGAGGTAGTAGGTTCTAGAACCACACTACCAACTTTGCAAAGACATACTGCCTTGTATTGTATGAAAACTGAAATTTCAAAGGAAAAAAACACATTCAAAAGGTATCTTCTAAGTCAAGTATTTCAGGATTTAGCCAATTTGTTCTTGTTCTAACTATACCTTTCCTTAGAAAAGGTTCAGAGAAAGAATTCCTTATAAGAAAAGCAAAATAGCCCGGCCGGGCGTGGCTCAGCGGTTGAGTGTCGACCTAGGATCCAGGCGATCGGGGTTCGGTTCCCGGTCAGGGCACATGCCCAGTTGCGGGTTTGATCAATGACTCTCTCATCATTGATGTTTCTATCTCTCTCTCTCCCTGTCCCTTCCTCTCTCTGAAATCAATAAAGATTTATTAAAAAAAAAAAGAAAAAAAAAGAAAAGCAAAATACATATACAAACACAACTAGCTTCTTGAGTGACAAAGGCTTCACACACTTCCCTATATGGATAGCCACGACAATTCTACTTAAGCAGCTATTTAAATTTTTAATTTGCTTTGGCTCAGGAGAAAAGTTCCTAACAAGCAAAGATCTGTTATATCGTAGATAACATTTCAACTAGTATTTAAAAACTTTAGGATACTCTCATGTAACATCAGGCATTAGTCTTTTATCTTCTTTTAAAAATAACTTTTGCTTAACTTGTAGTTGGAACTAGGTTATCTTTTACTTAAAGAGCCCTCCAAGAGGTGTACTTAATTCCATACAATTTAGCAGCCTAAAAACACTGTTACTAATCTTTTACGGGGTCAAGAATTAAAGGACAGCAAGTGGAGAAACTATTATGGTTGATTCTCACTCTAAAGAGACAAGTCATAAAAAGACCCAGTGATTTAAAATAAAATCATACAGCTCCTCTCCAAATTTAGACTCCCCAAAAAGTAGAGTATGAGGGTAAGAAAATTTTTTTAAGTTTATAAATTTTGTACCAGTGTAGATAGTTCACTGGTTCAGATGCTAAGAGAGTGCTTTGTAAAAGTCAAATGTTCCACAGTTGTTTGGAAAACTTTGGTTGCCATTTAAAATTAAATGTCAAATTTCCTCAGTGACCCTGTTCTATCTAAAGCAAATACACAACTGTGGTATAATAACCGATGACAACTAAAGTTAGCTCAATGACTTTCCATAAAGGAAAATACTTGAAAACAGTCAACAGGTCTAAGTAGAAGGAACTGGAAAAGCATTGGGATGTGTCTTCCATCAGACAGTGAGACACAGGTAGTCAAGTGGGGTATGAGGCAGAATTATGCAATCAAATACATATCATAAGAATATTATTTAATTATATGCTTCATAAAAGTAGAATCTGTAATGCTGTTTCCACTGTCCTACAAAATGATGAACACACAGATGAATCAAACACAACACAGTATTACTTTAAGATTTTACCAGATAGAAAAGAACTGTAGAGGATAGGCATTCTTTAATTTAAATTCAAAGTGATGCCCATAGTAAGATTGGCAGAATTAAGAAATTTGTGAGATATTGGGGGGAGGGATGTTTTCTTTTTACTATCTCATCTTTTCTGGTCAAAGGAAAAAATCCAGAAGACTACTGAATAAGAGACAGAGATATAACAGGGAAAAAGTGAATCCAAACCAGGTAATGAAGTGGAATTATGCTCCACCTGAAGCTATAGGGCACTCACAAGAGAGAAGCTGATATTATAAGCACTGATTAAATGCTAGACATTTAATCTTTACAATATACATGTATATATAACCCTTGAGAAAGAATTATCCCATTCACCCCCCTTTTATAACTAATGAAGGGAATAACTAAGACTGATTAAATAACTTTTCTCAGGTTACAAAGGGAGGCAAATTTGAATTTGAACCCAGGCATGCCTTTAATACCCTTGTGTTTAATACAGTTCTGAGCTTATTTTCAGGATGCTGATTGGTTACTAAAGAAAAAAGCAACTTTAAAACTGCATAAGGATATTTTTTGGATTTAAGAAAAATTATAAGTATCTTGGGGCATGTCCTCTGATCCCTACTAAACTCCACTATAAAACCTGTGCAGGCCAACACTGAAGGCTCAAAAAATCCTTCCACCCCAGGTGTCGAACGGCATAAGGCTGTTCTCACTTCACTCACCCTGACCTCCTAATATTTATAAATGTAAGAGACTGATAGTTTTTTCCATCTATGGACCTAATAATATTTCTAATATCTTATATTACCAAAAAATGCATCCATGATAAAAAGTTTCATAATAAGCAATTTCTCTTTGTGACTTTGGAGCTGAAATGTCAGACCTCCTTTCAAACAAGAGCTTTTGTCACTGAAGATGTACTCCTTTGTATGACATTTTGACAGAGTCATCATGATGCATATTTGCCACATTTGCCAGATGACAGACCTTAAGATCCCATTTGCCTGCATGTACATCCTATGAAGAGTTGTGTTTTATATGGCAGAATCCTGTAAGCTACCTGATTCATTTTCCAGACTTGCTTCTTCCAGTTAAGATAGATTGCAGGCACTCTGGCAGCTTCAATCCTTCTAAGAGACCTCTTTTCATTTTCTGCTAAACCGTCGTGGCAGTCAGTGTGACACACTGCTCAGATCACCCATTGGAAACGAAGGAACTGTTCTCCTATCTGATGGGAATGCTGCTGGAAAGTGGCCCTCAGCTATCAGTCCTCTTTGGGAATTGTCTTAAACTGAAAGAAACTGTCTTGTCAAGGTCATGCCTCTTTCAAGAGGGGTCCTGCATCCAATGGCTGATCACTGAGTGGGTATAAAGGCTCCACTCTTGACCTAATGGGGACAACTGCAGGGCTATCCCAACCCTAGAGCTTTCCAAGCAACAATTAAGGCCTTCGTTGGGTCTACCTCACAGTTCAACTTCTCTCTCCACTGAGTCCTGCCTCCTCTCCTTCCAGATGTTGATCCCAAGAACAGTCCTAATAAGCCTCCTGCGCTCTAACCTCCTAAACTCCATTTCAGAATCTGCTGCTAGGGAGCCAATCTGCAACAACCTGAACTGTCATAATGGATCACAGTCACCAGAATGAAGGTTCCACTGTTGTGTCCTTAACACCTAGAACAGTGCTTTAACATTTGAGCAGATGTATAAATCACACACACGAAAGACACAGTAAGTCATATAGAATAGTCAGTTAATGTCACACCTCAATGGATATGCTTGTAGAGATCAATCAGGTCCTATTTGGAGCATGTGAGTTTGAGCTACCACATAGGATTTAGTAAAAGTAGGCATTAATTGGTTAATATGAAGGATGGACCCTATAAGATTAGAACGGAGATACAAAAGTAGCAACTTTCCTTCCCTACGTCCAAAGCACTGGACATACTTGGGATCACATTCTCTCCTAGTAGAAGACAGAGGGCAGGTATTATTTCAGTTCTCTGTCAAAAGAGGCCAGGACACATGAACATGAATGTGGAAGGCAAAAAAATTAAAATAATTCAAATACTCTGACTCCTAATGCACTACACCCATTTCCTTAGATACCACAGTCATCTGATGACCATTCTCAATTTTATTCCATTACCACACATACAAGATAGTCTTTTAGACTATTATACTTTAGTTAACCACATCAAACTCAGTCATACCCTTCTATATCAGAACAGGACTGCTTCCTAACTATGCTTTAAAGAATATACTCCACCAGTTACTGGAGTATTAATCTGTATGTCTTTCCTACATATTCTTTTAAAAAAAATATTTTTATTGATATTTTGGAGAGACAGGAAGGGAGAGGGAGAGAGAGAGAAACATTGATGTGAGAGTGGAACATCAATCAGCAGCCTCCTGCACACCCCCTACTGAGAATCGAGCCCACAACCCAGGCATGTGCCCTGACTGGGAATCGAACGGAATCTCCTGGTTCATGGGTCAATGCTCAACCACTGAGCCATGTTGGCAGGGACCAAACTCTCCATTCTTAAGGATTTGTAGGTTCTCAGATTTTCAGAGTAATCTGTAATATATTTTTCTTTCAGTGAACCAACCAAACAATATGTATTACCTACTATCATGATGATTAAAAAAAAAAGAAAATAAGCAAGTAGGAATCCATTAAATTCCATCTTACTATTAAGTGCCCTCTATACTATATATATATATATAATATATATGTATATATATATGTGTGTGTGTGTGTATATATATATATATTTCTTATATTCAGCATAATTGAGGTTNATATATATGTATATATATATGTGTGTGTGTGTGTATATATATATATTTCTTATATTCAGCATAATTGAGGTTAATTTTAGGGCTTGGAGTGTTTGAAGGAAAACTGGCTCCCACTAGAAGTCCGGAGTTAATTCTCTTCTGTCCTTCCCTCTGTGAATATAAAGGTTTCAACCTTGAAAGATGAATATCGCGAAGGGTGGGGAGTACAGAAAGGTTATCTCTTAACTAAAACTAAAGACTGTTTTTATGAAAGTTCCCAAAGCTTGCTGATGATATGTAAGGATCTAGATCCTGGGAGAAAGGGATACAAAAGCATATATATTTGTAAAGGAGTCAAAAATCTGTTTTAAAGTGTATTTGTTTATACCCTGTGGGGAGTTTCTCTTCCTTCAGGTCTTTTGAACTAAAAGGCATCAGGTCCTGCCTAAGTTTGTTGCTGCCTTCAGTTAGGGACCTCCCTGGGTCTAAGCAGCCACTGTTACCGGCTACAGTGAGATTCCCTTCACTACTGTGGATAATGCTCTGTATTTGTGCAAAACTTAAGATGATTAAAAATTAAATGCCATTTCACAAAGCAAGTATTTCAAAACATCAAGTTAATTAACCCAAAAGAATTTGTTAATATCTTCCTTGAAGGGGAGGGAGTTGGGGCAAAGCCAGCCAACTGAAGCACATCAAAGCATTAAAGGAAACCATCACTCACCAAAGTGAGACTTCTGGAGCGAGAACTGCTACTTCGACTCTCCAAACTGCCCCCTCTGCTCAGGTCACTGAACCTGCAGCTGGGTGACAAATCAGAGTCCATTTCCAAAGAGTCTGATTTCTGGTGGTTTATAGGCATCCCCACAGAAACGATGGCCAACGGCTTGATCACAGGAAGAGGGGAAGGGGCCAGTTTTCCATTCTGAAGTCGTGGATTACTTCTAGAGAAATTAAGCACAAGCAACAAGGGTTAATGAGCTTAGAGAGTAAATGCCTTATCCCCCAAATGAAAGGCTCAGCATGAGTAAAAGTATTCCAGACACAGGACCTCGACTTTTTTTTTTTTAAATATATCTTTATTGATTTCAGAGAGAGGAAAGGAGAAAGAGAGAGAGAGAGATAGAAACATCAATGATGAGAGAGTCATTGATCGAGCCCACAACCCAGGCATGTGCCCTGACTGGAAATCAAATCCCGATCCCCTGGATCCTAGGTCGATGCTCAACTGCTGAGCCACATCCTGCCGGGCAGGACCTCAACTATTAAGACAATTAGGAACCTTTCAGTCAACTAGTTTGGTGATCCTCATTTCCATTTCTCCTTTATATCCTTCTCCACTATCAAGATGCAAGAATTATTATTATTAATATATTTTTATTGATTTCAGAGAGAGAGGAAGGGAGAGGGAGACAGAGAGAGAAACATCAACGATGAGAGGGAGTCATTGATCAGCTGCCTCCTGCACGCCCCCTGCTGGGGATCGAGTGCGCAACCCAGGCATATGCCCTAACCTGCAATCGAACCGCAACCTCCTGGATCATAGGTCCATGCTCGACCGCTGAGCCATGCTGGCTGGGCAGAATTATTTTTAAGGAGAGAAAGATAAACTAAAATTACTTTGGTGCAGATGTATCGATAGAATAATGGTCTGGCACCTTCCTTTGCACTTAGGGTCTGTACTTTCATGCTCTTTCACGCTCAGACTCAGATTCTCCCTGTGTGGTTTATGAATTCCAGTCTTTCCTGCTTCAGACACCACAAAATCATGGCTCCTTTCCCAGTTTCATGACAGTTCAGAGTTTAGTTGAAGTGACAAGAGCTAATAAATTACTAATGCAAATTTGTTTGACATCCCTGAGATTCTAGAGTCTTTGGAAGCTCTGATCCTACTGCATTTTCTACATAAAATATTAAGGTCCCATAATTTAATACTATCAGGAAGTTCATGTTTTTACTTTCAGGAAAAAAATACATTAAAACTGTCCCCTATAAGCCCCTCAATTTCATACAGTCCACTGAATCTTTTTTTAATTGAATTTATTGGGGTGAAATTGGTTAATAAAATTTTACAGGTTTCAGGTATACAATTCTACAACACATCATCTGTGTATTGTATTGTGTGTTTACCACCAAAAGGAAAGTCTCCTTCCGTCACCATTTATCCCCCACTTTACCTTCTTCCACCTCTCCCCCCCTTCCCTTTGGCAATTGCCATACTGTTATCTGTATCCATGAGTCTTTCTTTCTTTTTTTAAAAAAATAAAGCACAATCACATTGAAAGTTTGTTTTTGTGGTTTTTTTTTTAAAAAAAATTGATTTTAGAGAACGGAAGGGGGAGAAAGAGAAACATCAATGTGAGAAACATAGATTGGTTGGCTGCCTCCTGCATCTGCCCCTGGGGATCAAACTGCAACCTGGGTTTGTTACCCGACCAGGAACTGAATCCACCACATTTTGGTGTATGGGACGACATGATGCTCCAACCAACTGAGCCACACTGGCCAGGGCCAGTCTTTTTCTTTGCTTAGTCCTTTCACTCTTCTCACCCAGCTCCCAATCCCTGCCCACCCCCCCACCACAGGTGTCTGTTGTCTGTATCCATGAGTCTATCTCCACTTTGTTTATTTTGTACATTAGATTCTACATACAAGTGAAATCATATGGTACTTGTTTTTCTCTGACTGGCTTATTTCACTTAGCATATTGTCCAGGTTCATCCACGCTGTCACAAAAGGTAAGATATCCTCCTTTTTTATGGCCAAGTAGTATTCCATGGTGTAAATGCACCACAGCTTTTTTATCCACTCATCTACTGATGGGCACTTGGGCTGCTTCCAGATCTTAGCTATTGTAAATAACTCTGCAATGAACATATGGGTGCATATATTCTTTCCAATTAGAGTTTCAGGTTTCTTCGAATATAGTCCCAGAAGTAGAATCCCCGGGTCATAGGCAGTTCCATTTTTAATTTTCTGAGGAAACTCCAAACTGTTTTCCACAGTGGCTGCACCAATTTGCATTCCAACCAGTGCACAAGGGTTCTCTTTTCTCCACACCCTCACCAACACTTGTTGATTTGTTGATAGTAGCCATTCTGACAGGTGTGAGGTGATATCTCATTGTGGTTTTAGCTTGCATTTCCCTGATGATTAGTGGCTTTGAGCATCCTTTCATATGTCTATTGGTCATCTGTATGTCCTCTTTGGAGAAGTGTCTATTCAGGTCACTTGCCCACTTCTTAATTGGATTATTTTGGGGGGGGTGTTGAGCTTTATAAGTTCCTTATAAATTTTGGATATTAAGTGCTTAACAGATATATCAGAAAATACGTTCTCCCATTCAGTGTGTTCTCTTTTCATTTTGTTGATGGTTTCCTTTGCTGTGCAGCAACTTTTTAATTTGATGTAGTTCCATTTGTTTATTTCTTCCTTTTGTTTCCCTTGCTCGAGGAGGTATATCAGAAAAAATATTGCTATGAGAAATGTCCAAGATTTTACTGTCTATGTTTTCTCCTAGGATTTTTATGGTTTCAAGTCTAACATTTAAGTCTTTAATGCATTTTGAGTTCATTCTTGTATATGGTATAAGAAGGTGGTCTAGTTTCATTTTTTTGCATATATCTGTCCAATTTTCCCAACACTATTTATCGAATAGTCCTCTGACTCTTTTAGTACTTTACTTCGGCCTCTGAACAGACAACTGAGTTCAACAAAATCTTACAGAAGGCCAAGAAAGACTAATAGAAAATAAGCCTCCTGTTGATTACCTGTGACCTGATATTTGGTAAGTGACTTGATAGATGCTCATATCCTTTCTAAACTGAAACTACTGCCAGGTTGCCTTACTACCCTCTTTAAGGATACTGAGGGGCAAGTGAGCTAAAATAACCATAGGTACAATTTGGTGTGTGTGCGAATGTATGTGTGCTCATATATGTATTCTTTTTTTTTTTTTAATTTATCTTTATTGTTGAAGGTATTACAGGTGTCCCATTCCCCCCCCCCAATTGACCCCCTCCACCTCGCTCCCACCCCTTCTCCAGGCCTTCACTGCGTCATTGTCTGTGTCCATGGGTTATGCATATATGCATACAACTTCTTTGGTTAATCTCTTCCCACCCTCCACCCCTCTTCTCTCTTCCCTCTGAAATATGATCATCTGTTACATGCGTCACTGTCTCTGGATCTATTTAGTTCATCAGGTTCTTTTGTTCATTAGCTTTTTGTTAAAGAAGACCCTTCAACATTTCCTGTAGTGCTGGTTTGGTGGTGATGAACTCCTTTAGCTTTTCCTTGTCTGAGAAGCTCTTTATCTGACCTTCAATTCTAAATGATAGCTTTGCTGGGTAGAGTAATCTTGATTGCAGTTCCATGTTTTTCATCACTTTAAATATTTCTTGCCATTCCCTTCTGACCTGCAAAGTTTCTGTTGAGAAATCAGCTGACAGTCGTATGGGTGCTCCCTTGTAGGTAACTAACTGCTTTTCTCTTGCTGCTTTTAAGATTCTCTCTTTGTGTCTTTCCTTTGGCATTTTAATTATGATGTGTCTTGTTGTGGGCCTCTTTGGGTTCCTCTTGTTTGGGACCCTCTGTGCTTCCTGGACTTGTAAGTCTATTTCTTTCCCAAGGTAGGGTAACTTTTCTGTAATTATTTTTTCAAACAGGTTTTGAATTTCTTGCTCTCTTTCCTCTCCTTCTGACACCCCAATAATATGAATGTTGGGCCTCTTGAAGTTGTCCCAGAGGCTCCTTATGCTATCTTCATATTTCTGGATTCTTTTTTCTTTTTGCTCTTCTGGTTGGGTGTTTTTTGTTTCCTCATGTTCCAAATTGCTGATTTGATTCTCAGTGTCCTCCACTCTACTGTTGATTCCCTATAAATTATTCATCGTTTCAGTTCATGTAGTTTTCATTTCAAATTGGTCCTTTCTTATGTCATTGATTTTCTCAATTATTTTCGTCATACTCTTACTAATATCCTTGAGCATCCTTACAATCATTATTCTGAACTCTGTATCTGTTAGCTTGCTTGGATCTATTTCATTTAGTTCCTCTTCTAGAGATTTCTTCTGTTCTTTCCTTTGTGACATGTTTCTTTGCCTCCACATTTTGGCTGCTTCCAGGTGTTTGTTTCTATGTATTAGGTAGAGCTGCTATGTCTCCTGGAATTTGTAGAG